CTCCTCTGCAAAGCAGGCCGGGCCGGGCAGCCGCGGTGACAGTGGGCTCTCAGAGGAAGGCCGGCTGTCCGGGAGACCCGCGGGTCACGGTGGTCACCCCGGCACCCCAGGCACTCGCTGCTCCGCAGCTGAATGCACGTGGGCCCCCCGCCTGGCCTCCTCTGGCCAGATGGGCAGACTCCCCAGAGCCGCGACAGGATTGGGGCCTGTGCGGAGTCACAAGCTGGCGTGGGCAGGTGGGCTGGTCTGGGTGGCCCAGGCTAGGCTGCCATGGGGCCGGGGCACTCCTTCTGGGGACTTACTGGACTCAGGGCAGGCCCAGGGACGCAGGGCCTGTAAGGCCAGGGCGGGACTCCGGCTGCTGAGGGGGGTTGGGATGGGTCCTGGAGATGGAGGCGGAGATCAGGTCACAGGTAGATGAGCCCCAGAGGAGAGGGGGACTCGCAGGCAAGGAACCGTAGGGTCTCACATGTTCCAGCTGGGTTTGTTTCCGGGCCAGCGCTTCCCACCAGTCTTATGGAGCCCACGGCGTTGGCCTGTGGGCCCCTGTCTCGGAGCCTTCTCCCAGGGCCGAGCTCAGGGAAGCCTGCATCTCCTTGACCCCCATGCTTTCCCATGAGGACACCAGGCTGGGGATGGTCAGCCCTGCCCCAAGGTCCCAGTGTGGGTGTGGGGGCGGCTGGAGGAGGAGGTGCTGCCAGTCCAAAGCCCTGCTCTTTAAAACTTTTTTTTTAAGTTTATTTATTTTTGAGAGAGACAGAGCACGAGCAGGGGAGGGTCAGAGAGAGGGAGACACAGAATCCAAAGCAGGCTCCAGGCTCCGAGCTGTCAGCACAGAGCCCGAGGCGGGGCTTGAACCCACGAACCGTGAGACCGTGACCTGAGCCAAGTTAGATCCTTAACCGACTGAGCCCCTCAGGCGCCCCTAACACGGGTTTTGAATTCTTGGTCCCGAAATGCTTTGGTGTTCACAGTGTGCACCCCCTCCTGCTCCTGGCCTGACCCCCAGCCGGGTCTCTGGAGCCTGCAGGGCCCCCCTCTTCTTGGGAATACTTTACGGGGTATGTTTATGGGCAGATGTGCACGCGAGTGTGCGCACACACGTACACACGCACACATACTCTCCCCCCTCCCCACGCCCTCCGTGGGGATCTATCTGCAATGTTTTCACGTTTTAAAATTATTATTATTATTTTTTTATTTTTTGGCTGAACGACGGCGTGGCTTAGGGATCCTGTCAGTTCACAAGAGCCCCCGCCCCCCACCCTTTGGACCAGCTCTCCTCCGCAAGGCCAAGCGGGGCCGGGGCGGGGGTGGCTGTCAGCACCGCGCGCTGGGAAAGCCCGGCGGCCTTTGGAGCAAAGCCCACGTTGGCTACTGTGACTGTAGCGGCCAGGATGTCCTTCGTGCCCCCCTGGGGCAGGGGCCGGCGGGGACCGTCCCCGCCACCTGCCCTGCGACCCCAGTGGAAGCTGCCGTCAGGTTCCCGGGGTCCGTCTGAGCCCCGAGGCCGGACCTTCCCGAGCGGGCTCCCCTGCGCCCCCTCGTGGCCGCAGACGGCACGGCTCGTGGGGCGGGGCCTGTGGGAAGGTGGGGGAGGGGAGGGGAGGGGGGAGGAGGGGAGGGGAGCTGCGTGCCGTCCAGAGCTGGGCAGGGGCCGTATTGCCAGCACCACGACTGAGCATGGGCTGGGGCTGTGGGGACACTGAAGTCTGTGGTCAAGTGGGGAGCAAGGCCCATCTGTGTCCAGCAGGCTCAGCAGTGAGAGGGCAGCTTCTGGAGGCTTCCTGGAAGAGGTGGGCCTGGAAGAACAAGTGCCTGTTGGCTGGGGGTGGGGGCGCGGTCTGGTGGAGAAGAGGAAGCAGGGCTGCAGGGAGGGAGGGATTGTTGGCCCGGACACGCATGTCAGGCTGTGACTGTCCCCTGTGGGAATTCCCTACCCTCAGCTGCACCCCCCCCGGGGTGGGGGAGGGGATGGATTGTGGGGGTTAGACCCTCCCCCCAGCGCTGGGGGCACTTTCCTAGGCCTGGCTGGGGTCCTGCAGGCCCAGAAGCGGGGAGAGCCTGAGGCTGCCTTGGTTTCCCCTGGCTTCCCCTGGCGCTCTGCCCGCTCTCGCCTGGTGGGGAGGACTCAGGTCGCAGCGCAGGGCGCCACGTCCCTTGTATGTGCGGCACGTCCTTTGGGAACGGCCTTTGGAGTGAGGAGAACGGCCCACGAGACAGCAGCCATGGTTCTGAACGGATTCGGTGGCTGTATGACAAACCCAGCTGGGGAGGCGGTCTCTGGGCCCTGAGCTCTGTGCTGGGCGCTGGGGGGAGGTCCCTGAGCTCTGTGCTGGGCGCCGGGGGGAGGTCCCTGAGCTCTGTGCTGGGCGCTGGGGGGGCCCTGAGCTCTGTGCTGGGCGCTGGGGGGGGCCCTGAGCTCTGGGCGCCGGGGGGGGCGGGGCCCTGAGCTCTGTGCTGGGCGCTGGGGGGGCCCTGAGCTCTGTGCTGGGCGCTGGGGGGGGCCCTGAGCTCTGTGCTGAGCGCTGGGGGGGGCCCTGAGCTCTGTGCTGGGCGCTGGCTCCGTTTTGAAGACTGATCCTGCAGCCTCTTCCCGACCTGGCATTTGTGACCTTGCTCCGGGACTGGAAATTGGCTTGGTGGGAGCATTCACACCACAGAAAGGGGCAAAGGCCACACATCAGAGCTTTAGGAGAAGGCGGCTTCTCAGCTTCTCGTCTGGAGCGTGGGTTTGCCAGCATGCGCCTCTGGGGCAAACCCCCCTGGGACCGTGAGCGGAACCAGGTGTCTAACCCTTCCCTTGGCCGTGCAGCCTGCGCCCACCGCTCTGCTCTTGTGGGCGTGTTTTACGGGCTGGAGAAATCATTATCTCCCTGCCTCGTGCCGGAAAAGCCACTTCGAGGGCCTTGTCCCCCACGCACAGAGCTGGTGACGGACGCTGTGAAGGTGCCGCAGACGGGGGATTTGAAAGCCAGTGTTCAGACATAGTCACTTTTGGGGTCCTTGGACTAGCCAGCTGACTTCTCAGGCTCTGGGTGGGAGGGGGTCGCCTAAGGTGATCTTCCGGCTCTACCGTTCCGTGGCAAGTGCCCCCTGCGCCCCTGCAGCCCCTCTGCCTTCTGGCCTCCCTCCTACCTCAGCTGCCACTGGTGCCCGTCTCTCCTCACTCCCGGGGGGCGGCCCTGGCCCTCCTGGGGCAGCCCGACTCTGAGCTGTTTTCTTCACCCGCGCGCGGAAGCCTTGGAAGCCAGGCCCTCTAGAGGCGCTGGGAACTCGCCCGTTTTACACCGTCTCCACTCGGTCCCCAAGATGTTCTGCCCAGACCCCCGCGGGACCTTCCTCACCGGCCAAGCTCCGGCCTCCTGTTTTCTTTTAACCATTGATGTCACCCCCCCGCCCCTGCCGTGTCACTCTGCTGGGCGCCCCCCGCGGCCTGTGAGGCAGCTCCAGGCCCCTCTGCCCCAGCGAGCTCCTCATGGGCCCTTCCTCCAATACCAGCCTCCACGCACCCGCCTCCCTTCCCTTCCACAGACTGCAGGACGCGGTCCCCCCGGCGCCCTGGGGACCCCCCCCCCCGGGGCTGGGCATGGCCGCCGACCTCCTCCTTCAGGTGCCCTCCCCGTTAGCTGGTCTCCATCATCTTGCGCACTGATTCGTTCTCTTCCTGTTGTCTGCCCCCTGTCGCCGGGGCAGGACAATTACAAACTCCGGGGTGCAGGGCTTCTGGTACCCCCAGAGCCCGGACACCCAACAGGTGCCCGCTGCGTGGTCTGGGAATGAATGAATGATTCTGCTTCTGCTTTGGCTGGAGCCACCCGGCAGAAACGAGGCAGGGCTGTCGCTCTGCAGGCTGACGGGTCCTCTGGGCCAGCAGCTCCCCATGTATTCCAGGACCTGCCGCCCGCCCTGCCCTGGCCCCTCCCCTGCAGCTCTCCCCGACCCCCTCCCCTGCAGCTCTCCCTGCCCCCTCCCCTGCAGCTCTCCCTGCCCCCTCCCCTGCACCTCTCCCCGCCCCCTCCCCTGCAGCTCTCCCTGCCCCCCTTCCCCTGCAGCTCTCCCTGCCCCCCCTCCCCTGCACCTCTCCCCGCCCCCCTCCCCTGCAGCTCTCCCTGCAAACCTAAACCCCAAGGCTTCTGAGTTCTCCGTTGTCCCCGGTGGAGCACAGAGGACTTGGAGGCAGCGGGGTGGGGGGGAGGCTGGGAGGGTCCGGCCTCATGGGCTGTCTGCTCTGGAAAGATCGGCTCCAGGCCTAGAGCAGGGCAGCTGGAAGGGGCCTGCGGACATCCCGAGGACCGACTCCTCTCTGCCCGGTGTGGGGGCCCAGGTCAGTGGTGGGGGAATCAGGCTGAGGGAGCCGCGAGCACTGGCAGCAGCTTCTCCCCTCCCCTCCCTCCCCTCCCCTCCCCTCCCCCCTTTCCCCTCCTCCCTCTCCCCTCCCTTCCACTCCTCTCCCCTCCTGGGCCTCTGACCTTGAGCGGCCTTATGCGACCTTGGCCAGAAGAATTGTAGTCACTGAGAGTCCCATCACCAAGGGGGACCAGCCACGGTGCAGGAGGGCAGACCCTGAGGAAATGTGACGCATCCAGTGAACGAGGGAAGCGGAGTGTGTCACCATCCCACTCCTTGATGGTGGCCCAGGTGCCCCCCGCTCCCCTGCCCCCCCATGAGCCCCCTGACCTCATCTCTCACCAGGGCCCCTCCCCTGCTGAGCAGAGCACCCCTCCCCCACGCCTCCAGCCAGGCCCCCTCCCCCCCCCCGCTGGGGTCCACCATCTTGTCAGCTGCCAGGTGACCTTTGCCTCTGGGATGGGTCAGGGTGGGGGTTAGGGCGTGCACCAGGAGCCCAAGGTGGAGGGGGCACCCGTGCTGTGGGCAAACCACCTGCCGCCCTGGGTGAGGCAGCTCACGTCCACCCGCCCTCCCTTCTAGGGACTTGAGATGCGTCCAGAGTCAGGACGGGGGGAAGGTGGCCCTGCATGGCTGACAGCCGTCCCCATTCACAGGTGCCTGGCAGTGGAATAGGGGCAGGCGGCCGGCAGCACCGTACCTGGGGGCGGCGTGGGTGGCACGGTGCCCGGGGACCCCGTGCTGGTGTCCTGCGGCGTGGGCGGCACGGTGCCCGGGGACCCCGTGCTGGTGTCCTGCGGCGTGGGCGGCACGGTGCCCGGGGACCCCGTGCTGGTGTCCTGCGGCGTGGGCGGCACGGTGCCCGGGGACCCCGTGCTGGTGTCCTGCAGCATGGGCAGCAGGACCCTGAGGGAGCCGTCGTTGGCCTCGGGCACGATGCCCAGCAGCTTGCACATGAGCTCGTACACGTGGACGCTCTCGAAGGGCTCCACCTCTAGGCCCCTCTTGAAGCTGGGGCCCACAGCCCGGAAGATGGTCTTCATGTCCATGGCCTCGTTGTGAAAGCCGTGCTCCCCGTTGTTGAACTGCACGCTCACTCTCTGCCGAGGAGGGAAGGTCCTGAGTGTCTGCTGGGATGCGGAGCTCACCCCTGCCCGCGCTGCCGGCTGCACCCCTGCGCCCTGGGAAGGGCTCACACGTAGGGGCAGGAGAGGTTCTCTGAATTCTGAGCCCCGAAAGCTCCGTGGCCCAAGAGAGGGCCTCAGTGAAGACCTGATGACGTAGGCGCTGACCCCAAGGAAACGGGGTGGCACCTGTGCACACCCGTGTCCCCCTTCCTGACCCCTCCCCCCGGCCTGCACCTGGCTTCCCCTCCGGCATCCTGTGCTCCCAGCTGATGGCCCTCATCTCTCCCTCACTTCTGAAGGCCTGTCTTCCCACACTTTCACCCACACGCACACACACATGTACATGTGTGCACACACACAGATCTTACACACGTACACGCACGTACACAATGTATGGACACACTCCCATTGCATAGTGATGAGTGTGTCCCTGTGGCAGCCAGCACCCCTCAAACTGGGGACCAGTGAGAGATAGGGGGTGCTTCTCACAGATCTAGAAGGAGACCAGTGGCCCAGCGAGGGAGCCCGTGCCTCCGCGGGCGGCTCACCCCGTGGATGACGTAGCCGGGGTCACTGAACATGAGCAAGGGGGTGATCCTGGGGTTGTTGGCGTAGTGCAGGGAGGCGGGGAAGGACTCCTTCTTGTAGACGTGGAGTCTGGGGTGGGCGTCCTTGAGGACGCCGTACACCTGCTCCAGCAGCCCTTCCTTGGGCACCAGCATCCCGTTCGGCCCGTAGTCCAGGAGCTCAAACTCGATGTCCTTGAAGGTGAAGTTGGGGAAGTTGTGGAACTCCACCAGGTCCTGGGCCTTCTTGTGGACGGTGGTCATGCCGTGGTCGGATGTGATGATCAGGTTGAGGCTGCCCTCCAGGCCGCTGCTCCTGATGCTGTCCCGAAGGTAGCCCACGGTCCTGTCCACCTGCATCACCATGTCCTTCCTCTGCTGGGACTCGGGGCCGTACTTGTGGCCGGTGGAGTCCGGCTCCCCGAAGTAGAGCGTGACCAGGTCCAGGCCCTCCTCCGTGAACCACCGCATCACCGTGTCGATGTTGGCCCTCCACTCCTTCTCGTCCCCGTAGTCGTGCAGGGCGCCTTCCTTCCGGCTCAGCGTCACGGCCGTGTTCTGGTAGGTGACGTTCCCGCCGGGGTAGAAGAAGGAGCCGGTCTTTAGGCCCTGCCAGGGAAGGTGGTGTTAAAGGCAGGGGTCTCCCTGGGCTTGGCACCTGCCTGTCCCTGCTGCCGGCGCGTCTCCCCCTGCCCTCCCCCTGCCCGAGTCTTCTGTTCCCAGGGCCGATACCGACTTTATAGAGGAGACAGCAGGTGCTCAGTGGGTCAGCACTAGTGAGATAATGGATATAAACGTGTCCCCAGATATGCAGTGTCCTCATCATCACTATGGCCCTGGGCCCTTGCCCCGAAGCTGAGCTGTGGGGACGGCCCTCCCCTTCTGGCCCGGAGCCCGGCCTCTCCCCGCCGGCTCCTTACCCAGGTCCTCGCCCTGTGTCCCCTTGCCTGCCCTTCTAGCCTCCAACCAGCCGCCCATCTGCCTTTCCATAAACCGATTGCTGCCTTATCTCCAGATCCATCTGAACTCGCGACCACGTGCCCGGGCAACGCCCTGCCTGCTTGTCACCTGGCCACGAGAGGCCAGGCTCCCAGCCCCGGCTTTCTGCGGGTGAGCCTGGCGTCCAGGGGCTCCTTCCAGAGCGGAGGGACTCCGACCTGAGTGGATGCCCGGCCCAGAAGGTGGTTCATCCCAAGCTCATCTTGAAAACGTCGTTTGGGGGCGCCTGGGGGGTTCAGTCGGTTGGGCGTCTCACTTTGGCTCAGGTCATGATCGCACAGTTTGTGGGCTTGAGCCCTGAGTCGGGCTCTGTGCTGACAGCTCACAGCCTGGAGCCTGTCTTCAGATTCTGTGTCTCCCTCTCTGACCCTCCCCTGCTCACACTGTCTCTATCTCTCTCTCAAAAAAATAAGAAGTAAAAAAAAAGAAGAGAAAACGTCCGTTTGGCCTTGCAGACTAGAAGCCACGCCTCCGGGGCCAGGAAGCTCCCAGAACATTGCAGGGTGGTGAGCTCCCTGAGCTCGGCCCCACAATCTGCCTCTTCCTTTGTTTTCCGCCCTCTGGAAGTTAGCTGCCCAGCCCTGAGAGGAGCTCGGAAGGGGAAAGGCATCAGGCTGTTATGTGCCTTTTTGTCAAGCGACATTCTTTTTCCTGTGGGGACCCGTCTGCCACAGCCGGGGGTCCAGGGGTGCAGTTTTCCCTCCCGGAGGGAGGATGCAGCAATCCTGCTCTGTCCTGGGGGTCCGGGGAGGACTGGGCAGGGCCACGGTCGCCCGACCCGGCACCCACTGCGCCCGAGGCTCCACTCGATACCCCACTGCTCTGGGAGCCCAGGCTCCAGGGCAGGGGAGGGGTGGGCTTGCGTGGGTCTCCCAAGGTCACGGTCTTTCTGGGCCTGGCCCCCCCTTCCCCTCTCCCCCGACGGCAGTCTGGGGGGGCCGTTACCTGCCTCTGGGCTGTGATCCAGATGGGTAAGCTGCCATTGTCCCACCACCTCTGGATGCCCAGTGTGGCGTGGTAGGGGAGCTTCACCTTGCTGGTCGTATTGTAGTACATGTTGTGGACCACGCCGTGGTTCTCGATGTATTTGCCTGTGGGGAGGAGGCAGCAGAGGCAAGGAGGGAGGCGGGCGGGCCTTCTCACGCGCTGCCCCCCAGGAGCCCAGGTTTGGGGTCCCAGGCAAGTCCTCCCCAGCCCGGAGGTTCTGCCCACAGCGCCGATGACTTATCCTGTGGTTCAGTGTGTGCACAGTGCAACCCCCACACGTGCGGGCATGTCATTTGCAGCTCCTGGGTTTTAGCAAAGCCTGGGAGGGCCCCACATGGCTACCGGCGGGGAACTGATGAAACAGCTATGGCCCAGTCATAAAACAGAATCCCAGGCGGAAGTTTAAATGAACCCAGCGGAGCTCCATCCACGAGATGTTTCCTGAAGCTCCCTTTTTGCACGGGAAACACACGCACAGGTGCTGAGAAGGCACAAGCGGGACGATGATGAGTGGACCCCCTTCCCCCGCGTCCCCGTCTGTGATCTACTGAGGACATGGGGGATGCGCAGAAGGGAACCAGAGGTTTGCAGCGGGAGCCGCGGACACAGAATGCTGGCATCAGGATGAGCCGTCTGGAAGGAACAGGGCCCCCCCTCCAAGGCCATGTCCACCCAGAGCCTCAGCACGTGCCCTTGCTTGGAGACGGGGTCTCTTTGGATGTGACGAGTTAGGTCAGGATGAGGGCAGTCTGGGTCAGGGTGGGCGGGAGGAGCGGCTGGGGCCGGGGGTGACAGGCAGGAAGCTGGGAGCGGCAGGAAGGGTCCCCTTGAGTCCCTCTGCGGACACCTGCATTCTAGACTTCCAGCCTTGATAGGGCGATGGTGGTTCAAGGGGACCTCGGGGGCCACAGGGAGCCTCAGGCTCACCTCTCCTGCCTGTCTGAAACCCGGCCACACTCACCACCTCCAGAAGCCCTCCCAGGTTGCCACCTTGGTTGGGGTCACTGTTTAAAACGAGACGGCTGGGCATTTTTGTGCCTTGTATCCGTTGTCACCGGCCGTGCTGTGTCTCCCCAGTGATGGTGTCCCCTCCTGGGCCTCACCTTTGTCCCCGTGTGGCGCCCCGGGGGACAGGTCTCTGTGCGTACACTGGGTACCCTCTGTTGGCTCCCCTGGCCGTTCAGCCCCCTCCCCAGCCCCAGGCCCCTCCGGAGGCCCATACTCACCAGTGACCAGGGTGAAGTGGCAGGGGCTGGTCATGGTGACGAAGGCCGGCGTCATGTAGCGCGCCTTCACCCCGCTGAGCGCCATGGCGTCCAGGTTGGGGGTGTCCACGTCCTGGTCATAGTTCCAGCGGAAGCCGTCGAAGGACACCAGCAGCAGCTTATTCCGGGAGGCCTTCCTGCCGACGGGAGCCCCCGTCCCCGGAGCCAGGAGGGAGGCCAGAGCCGCGGCGAGGAAGACAGCCCCGTGTCCCATGACAGGCTTTCCAGACAGGAAAGCGTCCGGGCTCGTTCCTGCTGAGGAGCAAAGTCCCCGGGTCGGCCGGGCGGTCTCAGCCTGCGCCTCTGTGAACACCAGACTGTGCGTGTCCCTGCGTGTTGGAAAGCGGCCGAGTCACCCTACCTGCCACCCGGCCCGGCCCCACGCGGCGTCCGCTTTTATTGCCGGCACAGCCTCCTGGGCTGGGTCCTCCTCCCCTCTCGGGCACGTGTGTCCTCCCGGGGAGGACGGGGACGGGTCCCCAAGGCCTGGGGAGCAGAGGGGCCCGTGTCCCCACCCCACCTCTCCTAGCCGCTCCCGCCCCCGGTGCCCCGCTCGCCCTGACCCCAGAGCACTGGTGGGGCCCCTCCAGGCTGCAGGCTGGGGGGAGCTCTGGGGTACAGGGTCTCAGGGCTGCGGGGGCGGGGCTTCCCAGGACCTCACACAGGCACGCGGACCCGGACTTCCTGGAGGCCATCAGAAGAGGGGGCGCCCTCATTACCTGTGCTCGGGGAGGTGGGTGCGTGCGGAAGAGGGACCCCTGAGTTCGGTGTGCACCCCCATCCCTGTTTCTGTCTCTGACTCTCTCTCTCTCAGTCCCTACAAAGCACATTCTCCGCTCCGGGGACACAGGGTGGAGGAGACAGCCCTGCTCCTGGCTCCCCCCCCCCCCCCCCCCCCCCCCCCCCCCCCCCCCCCGCTCTGGCTGGGGACACACAAAAGACAACGAGTGAGCAGGCGAAACAGTAACAGTGCAGCGCCCGAAGAGGACGCCGGCAGGGGGCTGAGAGCCGCGCTCGGCTGGGGAGGGGCAGGGGGCGGGCGGCGTGGGGGGCCCGGGCCGGGCAGGGCTGTGGTGGTCCCGCGTCTTGTGCGGGCAGAGGGGAGCCGTGGGGAGGACAAGACTGATCTCGTGTTGCCTCGGCAGGTGGGCCGGGTGCGCGCTGAGGCCAGAGCGGAGGTGGAGGGTGGAGGGGAAGCAAGCATTCCGTGTTGGCCGCCCCGTGTTGGGGGTGCCCAGGGGCAGCCCGGGGGGAGGTGCTATAGCTGGTATGTCCTGATCTGAATTTTCTTCATCTACAAACCTGGCAACAGAGGGCCTTACTCATGACTTTGGCTGTAGCACCAAGATGTTCTTGTCAAAGCAGGTCCCAGCTCACGGACACCAGGGAGGCCATCAGAGCCTCCTCTGAAGTGTGGCCCAGGGACCCCAGGGGCAGATGCCTGAGCCCCCCCAGAACCCTACGGAAACACACCCTGAGGAGGAATCCCCGCACGGCAGCTGGCCTTGGGGGTTCTCATGTCCACTGGAGTCTGAGAACCCCGGACAGGCGCACCGCAGGGGCTCCTACAGCCAGTGCTGACGGGAGGCCTGCCAAGTGGTGGGCCAGGCCATAGCAGTTGCAGGGAGTATGTCGCTGCTGGCACCTTCCCTCCCGCGGGGACGTGGCAGCTGTGTGCAAGTGGGTGCAGGTTTCCTGGGAGAGAGCAGCGGGGTCTCATTTACACCCGTGTTGGGCGCTAGGCCCAGGAAGGCTGCTCTGTGGGTCTGACATCAGAGGAGGCCTAAGGGATGGATCTAGACCACAGAGTGGGCAGGAAAGCCTTCCAGGTGGGAGGCAGACGTGCAGGGGAAGAAGTGCCCCGGTTCCCCGGAGCAGAGAGGCGGAAGAGGTGCGAGTTCGGCCCGGAGTCTAGAGGGGCAGGCCCTGGTGGGGTCTGCGTTTCAGGCCCCCGGGTCTTTCAACGTTCTGTTCTTCCAGGCCTCCAGAGTAAGATGGCCGCCAAGAATAAAGACTACACTTCCCAGCATCCCCTTCAGCGAGGTTTGACCATGTGACTCTGTTATGGCCAATGGGGTGAAAGAAAAATGTCATGTGACACCCCGGCCTCTTCTATCCGGAGCGCCTCTCCCGCGGGGTCCCGCAGCCGGGCGTGGGCGCTGCCCCCGGCCTGGCAGTTGGGGTGTCCCGAGGGGAGCGGGCGTCCTGGGCAGCGTGGGCTCCCCGGCTGCGTCCTCGCCGGGAGCCTGCGTGCGCCGCGTCTCGCTTCTGTGTCCTTGTTTGGGGTTCTGTCGGGCTCAGCGGGATCCAGTCCCGGGCTCTGTGGGGCCTTGCTGGCTTTGACCGGGGAGGTGACGTGACAGGCAGGCTGCTGCGGGGGCAGGGGGGAGGCGGGAGGGGAGCGGGCCGGACGCGGGGGTCCGCCCGCCCCGGCCTTGGTGCGGTTTGGGGCCCGCGCTGGTCCTGGCGGCGGGTGCGTGCGGGGTGCGGCGGAGGGAGGCCTCCAGCGCCTGTTCGCGCACTTTCTCCTGCTGACCCTGCCCGCGGTCTGGGTGCGGATTCAAGGGTCCTGCTCACCCCCACCCCCACCCTGCCTGGGTCTGGCCTGGCGATGGCGGGAAAGCTCTGTTCTCTGCCGGTCTCCACTTCTCAGCAGGCTTTTTTTTCTTTTTCCTGGATCTCCTGGCTCACCTTCTATCAGTTTCCTTTTCCTTCCACGGCCTCCTAGAGCGCGCTTCAACCAAAAGGGGGTGTATTAGCTGACGGTAGCCAGAAGTAACAGGGCACTGGCTCCACTTACCCAAGATCTCATTCAAGCTTCGAGGTAGTTCTGGAAGGCAGGAGTTCCTAATATCCTCACTTTATGTGTGGGGAAACCGAGGCAGAGGGAGCAGGTGGAGGAGCCCATCCTTGAACTGAAGCTCCCCAACCCTGCTTTGACCCAGGTCTGTGCGTGGATCTGCCAGCCACTTGGGGCCCTCTGGCCGGGCTTTGGGGCTGTTGACTGCTTTTAAAAATAGAGCAGCTATTTTTATAAATAATAAAGTCAGGATCACTGACTTTGCCGTTTCACATTCACATTATTTCCTTGTGATACGCCACCTAGGCAGGGGTCCTTGACGAGGCTGCTTGGGCCGTACGGTCATATTGCCATAGTTAGTTGTTAGTTGCCGGTCCCTCCAGCCACGAACTGTGGGGTCTCCTATGCCCCTCTGTCTCCATGGGGTTTTCCTTTTTATTCCGTTTGTGTGCTTAACAGGTGTGCAGTGCGATTTTCCGTGTCACAGTCTCCTCTCTGCCCTTGTGTGCAGACTATGCATCCTCTCTAACCATTGCTCGAGTGGTCCAGGTGGTCATTGAATCTTAGGGCTTAATCATTTTTCAGATCTTTTTTAATATAAACTTTATTTAAGATTTTTAAAAATGTTTATTTATTTTTGAGAGAGAAGGAGACAAGGCCTGAGCAGGGGAGGGGCAGCGAGAGGGAGACACAGAATCTGAAGGAGGTTCCAGGCTCTGAGCTGTCAGCACAGAGCCCGACGTGGGGCGCGAACCCACGAACCATGCGATCACGACCTGAGCTGAAGTCGGACGCTTCACTGAGCCCCCAAGCACCTCCCCCATGTATCTTTCAGTGTATGTGTCTTGGCACATGTATTCTGGAATCTTCTCTTATAGGTATCGATCATTTTTATCTACTGCTTGTAACTTTCCCCATTCTCTTGCACACTCGTCATGCCTCAGGCAGATGGTAGTCCTGAAGCTCCCGGAAGGCAAGCCTGGCCATATTGTTCATGGTTGTAGCCCCAGAGCCTGTCACAGAGCCAGCCCAGAAGAGGCACTGAACCCATATTTGGGGATGAATACATACACTTAGAGGGAAAATGTATGCAAGTGTCGATTGTATTTTTGGTTAGGGGGAACATTTTTTACAATAAACTCTTTTTTTATCATCTTTTTAAAAAATTTTGTTAACGTTTCTTCATTTTTTTTTTTTAATTTTTATTTCTAGGAGAGAGAGAGAGACAGCGTGAGCAGGGGAGGGTCAGAGAGAGAGGGAGACACAGAATCTGAAACAGGCTCCAGGCTCCGAGCTGGCAGTCAGCACAGAGCCCGACGCGGGGCTCGAACCCACGAACCGCAAGATCATGAAATAAGCGAAAGTCGGACGCTTAACCAACTAAGCCACCCAGGCGCCCCTAACGTTTCTTCATTTTTGAGAGACAGAGATAGAGTATGAGCGGGGGAGAGGCAGACACAGAATCCGAAGCAGGCTCCAGGCTCTGAATGGTCAGCACAGAGCCCGATGTGGGGCTCAAACCCACAAACCGTGAGATCATGACCTGAGCCGAAGTCGGACGCCTAACCGACTGAGCCGCCCAGGTGATGACAATTTTAGGCTTATGGAAACACGGCAAAGAGGGAGATCGCATGTACCCTCTCCTTGGCCTCCTCTGTTAGTCACGTCTTACATTCTGTGGTGTATTTGCATAACACATGAGCAATATTCGTAAGTTGTTCTTCGATTCAGGATTGCCAAGTCCATATTCTACTCAGATTTCCTCAGTACTCGCCTTACCGTCCTCTCTGTTCAAGGATCCCATATGTCACCGTCCTGTCTCCCATGTCCCTCTTGGGTGAGATAGTTTCTCAGACTTGCCTTGTTTCTGATGACATTGACGGTTTTGAGGAGTGCTGGTCAGGGGTTTTGTAGAATTTCCCTCCATCGGGATTATCTGTGGTTTTTCTCTTGATTAGACAGGGTGTTAGGGGTTTTGGGGAGGAAGGGCACAGAGATAAAGTCTGTTCACATTACATCTTATCAAGGGAACATCCTATCAGTGTGACTCAGCTCCGTGTGACCTTGATCACCTGGCCAAGATAGTCTCTTCTTTCTTACTCTCTCTCTGCCTACTCTGCTCTTTGGAAGGAAGGTCACTGTGTGCCATCCCCGCTTCAGGAATGAGAGGTCACGCCTCCCTCCTTGGGGGCAGAGTCTCTACAGAAATTATTTGGAATTCTGAGCAGGAAGTTTGTCTCTTCTCCCTGTGTGTGAATCTATTCAGTAATTTACATCAGTATAGACTCACCGGCACTTATTTCACACGGGGCTATAACACACTGCTGCTACCTGGTTGGGTTTTGCCGTCCCGTCCCTGGCCACCGGGAGCTCTCACTCGATCCTGTGTCCCTTTGGTGTCCCCACGACTGTCT